ATCAAGGAGAGCTTACTCCACAATGTTGGAACTATGAAAATGAACGCATGGCCCCCACTTTATTTTTACGCCTGAACAGTGAAACTTAATAGTAGCAGATTCTCTGATCTCAGGGCTCGAGATGCAGAATAAGGCGTTAAAAGGTCAGAGTCATCATACGTCCACCTTGTAGGTGGCAAGTCTCTGCCTCATATTGTTTCTTGTTAGGCTTCATATTTGTGGAGAAACTTGCGGGATATCACCACCCACCCTGCTGTGTACCGAAATATAAAAGCATCTATGATTTATTCATACTTGTAAATCCATGTTAGGACATTAGTCTGCTGCATTTGTCCTATCTTAAATACTTAGCAGTGGGCAGCCACAGTGCAGCACTCAGGGGGGGAAACTGGTGCTTTGAGGTCAGTGCCTCAGTCAAGGGCAGATTTAGAGGTTTTCACAGCTTGGACTTGTGTCTGTGGGGTGTTTTCTGTCAGACTGTGGTCTCTTTCTGATCTTTGTGCTCAGTGCATATATGCAACATGATATCCAATTTATATATTTATATATATATGTATGCACTATTCATATATTTACATGCTTAATAAAATAATAAAAACAGAATGGACTGATACCGGCATTTAGAAAAAGAATTATATTTCTAGTGCCGGTAGTCGTTCCTGGTGTTAGTAGCATTGGTTGTCTGATCCAGTCATAATAGTCTTCATTACTGTCACTGTATTGTCATTATAATACTGTGTAACTTGCTTTTGATTGCATCCCAACTGATGATTTCCCATCACTGTCTGTCAGGAGTTTTCAAAAGAAGTTGAGGGAAAGTCCAGCCTGAAGAGCTCCGTAGTAACCGAGGGCAACCAGCTTCTGCGACTGAAGAAGGTGGACACAGTGGTGCTGCGCTCCGACCTGGCACGCATCGACACGCAGTGGACTGAGCTGCTCACACGCATCCCTGTGGTTCAGGAGAAGCTGCATCAGGTATCAGGTGTCACATGCAGCCAGACTGAACGGGCTTAGCTGCTCCAGGGCAAATAGGATTACCCCGTTCTGCTGGCGCTTCACCCGTTTACAGAAGTTTTCACTAAAGGTTGCCCTGAAACTACAAACAAAATGTTTTTTTTTTTCTCCTCGATGTTTAATATTTTCAGATCCAAATGGAAAAACTGGCCTCCCGTCACGCCATTTCTGAGCTGTTTAACTGGATATCGTTGATGGAGAATGTCATTGAGGAGGATGAAGAAAACCTCAAGAGTGCTGTCGGCTCAAATGTGATTCAAGACTATTTGCAGAAATACAAGGTAGTGGACTTTTTCTGATTCAGAACAATATGTAAAATTGCATATTTTTTGTATTCAATGTGGAAGGTTTGTTTTCAAGTGTAATTAAGTATTTTTCTTGGTAAAACTAACTAAAAGCATATGTGTATATCCAAACTGTACCATTTTAAACAAATGATTGTCTTTTTGTGCACAAAATCAATAACCTGATTGTTATTAAAAAAAATAAAAATCAATTTTCAGTATACATCTGTGACTTTTCATGCAAATCTACTGTGGTTTCCTCACTGTAGGGCTTCAGAGTGGATTTGAGCTGTAAGCAGCTGACTGTGGACTTTGTCAACCAGTCAGTGCTGCAGATCAGTGGTCAGGATGTGGAGAGCAAACGCAGTGACAAGACAGACTTTGCTGAGCGCCTGGGAGCCATGAACCGACGCTGGCAGATCCTACAAGGCCGCATCAATGAGAGGGTAAGGCCACAACCGCTGATGGTGTTATTATGAACCTGTAGCATAGAATAGAATGTTATTGAACAGTGGAACTAAGAGTTTTAACAATATGTTGATATACAACACATGTAGATCCAGTTCCTGGAGAGCCTGTTGGAGATGTGGTTAGAGTATGAGAGCAGCGTTCAGGCCCTGAAGTCTTGGATGTCGACTCAAGAAGAAAGACTGAAGAGAAAACACCGGATAGAAGATCTGACATCTGTGCAGAATGCGCTCAAAGACTGCCAGGTAGGTCTGATGTATTACAGTCTTACTAAAGCATGTTACTGCCCTTGATTTTGTTACAACACACCAACATGTTTTTGTTGTTAGATTGAACATGCTTTTTTTTTTTTTTTAAGGAAATGGAGGAGTTGGTAAAAGAAAAAGAGAAAGAACTAGAGAGAGTGGAAGAGCAGGGCTGTGCGCTTGTCCAGAACAAGACTGATGAGGCCTGTGCTATCGTCATGGAGACGCTCCAAGGTGTCAATCACACCTGGGCGAACCTGGACCACTTGGTAATCTCCATGCTCTCTTTTCACCCATTGTGGAACTTAGATTAGACCCATCTGTTCTGCTTTGTCCTGTTATCCATGACATGTTCTGTTCTGGTCTGAACTTTACAATTCACTGAATGTGACTTTATTTTACCTCCGACAGATCGGGCAACTGAAGATCAGCCTGAAGTCAGTGCTGGATCAGTGGAGTCTATACAAACGGGCTTCAGAAGAGATCAATGGCTACCTGATGGAGGGAAGGTACTCTGTGTCTCGTTTCCGCCTCCTCACAGGATCCCTGGAGGCTGTTCAGCTGCAAGTGCAAAGTCTGCAGGTACATTAGGAGGCGGAGGAGGCGTTTGATTTATTATCCATGTCAGCTGTTATAGCCATCCAGACAGCTTTTCTTGTATTTATTTTGTCGGTGTGCTTTTCTGAAATCTTATTGCCATGAAGCTGACGTTTATATTTTGCATGAGGGGAATTTTTCTAAATTTGGTCGTATCCCTGCTGGTGAATTAAGCACTTTCTTTGTCTGTCACCTGTGAAGGATTTGCAAGAGGAATTGGAGAAACAGGAGAGCAGTCTGAGAAAGTTTGGTGCAATAACCCACCAACTGCTGAGAGAGTGTCACCCTTCAGTGTCAGATTCGCTCAACAATGCTCTGAAGGATGTTAATGCAAGGTGATCTTATTTGTTTTTATTTTGCTTCTTTAAGAACTTAATTGTTTATTGCACTGTAAAAAATATTGTAGTGCTCTTGTCACTAACCTTTACATTGGTCCATGGCATATTTGCACTCAGGTGGACTGGCTTACTGGAGGAGATTGCAGAGCGCCTTAGAAGCAGCAAAGCCCTGCTTCAGCTGTGGCAACGCTACAAGGAGCTTTATGAGCAGAGCTGCAGCAGCATCCAGCTGCAGGAGGAGAAGGCAGACCAGCTCCTCAAAACCACCTGCAGCAAGGACATTGCTGACGAGGAAGTGTCCGACTGGATCCGAGAATGCAGCGTGAGTGAGGCCACAGCTGTGCCATTGGGACTAATTTTACATCAGAACAAATGTTCAATATATGACTAAGTGTTTCGTGGTTTTAAAGAGAATTTATGCTAAAGTTTCTACCTGCTTTGTCTCAGGAGTTGCTCCGGTCCCAAGCACCAGTGCAGGCCTCGCTTCAGGTTCTCCAAGAACTGGGAGAGCAGCTGAAACAGCAGGTGGACACGTCAGCAGCGTCTGCTATCCAGTCAGACCACCTCTCTCTGACCCAGCGGCTTTCTGTGGTGGAACAGGCGCTCACCAGACAGCTCACTGCCCTGCAGGTAAAACAAAAAGCATTTAGACTCCAAGTTGTCCATTTAAGAAGACAGTCAGCAAGTCAGAATTGTGAGTTTTACACTTCTTAGCTGACACTTCTGTCTCCTCTTCTCCAGACTGGCGTTCAAGACTACGAAACCTTTAATGATCAGCTGGAATCGTTGGGCTGCTGGATAGTTGAAGCTGAGGAGGCTCTGAAGGTGCAAGATCCCAACGGCTCCACTGATCTGACCGTCATCCAGGACCGCATGGAGGAGCTCAAGGTTTGTCGTTGTCTGTTTTTTGTCAGTTAGTTGAACAAATCAACATCTAATCGTCCAAAAACTGAGAAATCTAACAGTTTTCTCTTGCCGTCTTGCAGAGGCTCATGCTGAAATTCAGCAGTATGGCCCCTGAATTAGAGCGCCTCAATGAGCTCGGTTACCGGCTTCCTCTCAACGATTCAGAGATCAAGCGCATGCAGAATCTCAATAGAAGCTGGTCCACAACCTCAGCGCAGACCACTGAGAGATTCAGGTATGATGTAACAGAGAGTAAAAGAAAAATGTGCAAGACTTTAACAACGGGAGTTAAAATGCTGCGTCTCTATTTCTCATCTCATCATTTCTCATCTCAGGGGTCATCCCAGTGAAATGTCAGGACACTAACAAAGTTAAATTAATTGACTAAGCAAACGAATTAAAGACTGACACAAATAGCAGACAAAACAACAAAAATGTATAGTAAAGGCCGCTCTCCCTTGTGACTGAGATTTTAAAATGAATTAGCATCACAATAGCATCTTTTATTCACCCGCTTGTTGTTTTCCTGCAGCAAACTCCAGTCATTCCTCCTCCAGCAGCAGACATTCCTTGAAAAGTGTGAAACATGGATGGAGTTCTTGGTCCAGACAGAAGAGAATCTGGCTGTGGAGATTTCTGGGAACTACCAGAGTTTGATGGAGCAGCAAAAAGCCCATGAGGTTAAAATCCGTTTGAAGTAAAAGACTCCAGAACAGTTGCTTTTATACGTATTTATTAAGCATCAGTGTTTTTTGTTACAGTTATTCCAAGCCGAGATGTTCAGTCGCCAGCAGATCCTTCACTCCATCATCAGTGATGGCCAGAGGATGTTAGAGCAGGGTCAGGTAGATGACAGGTAAAAATCCACAGTATATCTCCATTGTTGTTTGATTACCACCAAACTCCATTACAAACCTTTCTTTGCCAACCGTTATGCTTAAATCTCTTGCAGGGATGAGTTCAACCTGAAGCTGGCTCTCCTGAGTAACCAGTGGCAGGGTGTAGTGCGACGAGCTCAACAGAGGCGAGGAATCATCGACGGTCTGATCCGCCAGTGGCAGCGCTACAGAGAAATGGTGGAGAAGCTGCGCAAATGGCTCGTGGAGGTTTCCCATCCCGCAGAGGCACTTCAGTCAGGAAATACAGTCCCTCTGCAACAGGCTCGCTCCATGCTCGATGCTGTCCAGGTACATGAAAGACTGCCACAGTCTCTAAACCACACTCATCTGATACTGTAAAATATGCAAGTATGCAATAAACATTTCCATTTATAGGATGGGTAGGATCTGTATCAGGTTTGCAGCTTGATTAGAGTTCTTTCTTCCCGGTTCAGCTGAAGGAAAAGGTGCTGCAGCGTCAGCAGGGCAGCTACATCTTAACAGTGGAAGCAGGCAGGCAGCTGCTTCTGTCTGCCGATACCCGGGCAGAGGTGGCCCTACAGGGAGAGCTGACTGACATCCAGGAGCGGTGGAAACGGGCCAGCATCTGCCTGGAAGAACAGAAGAAAGAGCTTGCCACCCTGTTAAAGGTAAAGCACACAAAACACCTGCAGCTTGTGTAGTACACACAACGTCAAGTGACCATGAAGAAATTCTATTATTGTTTTTTTTTGTTTTGTAGGTACAAATTTGTACATTTTTCATTTGTTTTCCTAATTTTCTATCAATAACAACTAAAACTCAAAAAGAAAAACCTAAAACTGCCATTTTAGAGTAATTTATGAAAAAAATGCCTAGTTTGCTGATTTTGTTACATAGTTTGGATGCAGTTGCAACCACTGTTTGTGACACAGTTGTCTATGTATTGTGTCATATTCAGGACTGGGAGAGATGTGAGAAAGGGATCTGCGGATCACTGGAAAAGCTTCGAGCCTTCAAACGACAACTCTCTCAACCTCTTCCTCATCACCACGAGGATCTGCAGGCTGAGCAGATGCGCTGCAAGGTAACGACCTGGGCATTTCATCAAATTGAACTTTTACAACAACATAAGTTTAAAAAGAAACATTCCTTTTGGGATGTTGTCCTAAAAAGTGTAGATGGATAAGGAATTATTTTAATTTGCCTCATCTGGTGAGGTGATGTTCAAGTCCCAAGGTTTGTCTATGAAATGTACAAATCAATGTTTCAACAAGTTTTTTTTTTTCTATAACAGGATCTTGAGAATACATTTGATGGCTGGACTGGTGATCTGGCTCATCTGAATGTACTGAGAGAGTCGCTGTCTTGCTACATCAGTGCTGAGGACCTTTCTGTGCTGCAGGAGCGCATTGAGCTGCTGCATCGACAGTGGGATGAAATCTGCCACCAGGTACAGCTGTCTACACAGGCCTCCTCCATGTCTGATTGTTTAAATATACTGAACGCTGCTTATCTGATGAGACACAGAAGAATTACTTAATTGAAGATGTGGGTCAGAATTTACTTTTCACACACATTCTGTATCACACATTATAAACCATGTAACATATGTAACACCTCTAAGTGCTACTGTTTTTTGCTTTTGTTATGTCCTGCAGTCCCGTCACACACCAGATGGTGTCACTACATTGTAAGATATAAAGGAAGCCACATCCTAGCTGCTGTCAAAGCCAAATTCAGCTCAGATTCAGATTCGTTTCATTGTCATTGTAACGAGTACAACGAAAAGCTGCTCACTATATAGACATATGATAGAATACTAGACTGAGTTTATATTCATTTAGTATTTAATACTCTTTTTTTTTTTGTATATCAACTTGCTTGTTTATGAAAGAAGGTGGTCACCTTACAGTACAGTGTGAAGTGTTTCTTGGAATACGAAAGTTTAACCTAAATTTTACTGTCTGCGTCAGTAACTTTTGCATGCAAAGTTAACTTCACTGCAATCAGACAGCACAGAAACTCGAAACCTTTTTTTTTCGAGTTGCATCCTGTGTGAGCTGGATAAAACACACACACAGGAAACACAGACGTACACACTATCTGCGCGATGCAAATGAAGCAGTCATGGTGCACTAATCTCTGTAACACTGCTTCCTTTTGAGACGTTTTTCGTTTTTATTTGCATTTGGTTGAATTTACTGTGCATGTAGTGATTGTTTTTGTGCACTTTGCGTAGAGATGCAGTTAATTTATATATTGCTGTGCGTCTGCAGTTGTCGCTGCGCAGGCAGCAGGTGAGCGAGAAGCTGAATGAGTGGACTGTATTCAACGAGAAGTACAAGGAGCTCTGCGAGTGGCTCACTAACATGGAGAGCAAAGTGTCCCAAAATGGAGACATCAGCATTGAGGAGATGATCGAGAAGCTCCGCAAGGTAAATAGAAACATGATCTAATGATCTGCTTTCACTGGCTACTTATCAATATGTCAATATCTGCTTTAATTCTTGTCTTCTTTATCCCCTAGCTAAATGCTTTGGTTTACTGCATACAGTGAACCTGACATTCATAGTTTTTACAGCTTTTGTCTCCGTTACAAACCACAATTCTCATTTAAAATCATAATCATAGACTGATAGTTGATATGGATAAGAATACCAGCTGCATCTGTATGCTGCACTTTAATTTGTCATCTCAGTACTTTCTCCATAACAGATTTCATATTTCTTGTATCTTACGTGTTACATATTTGTGCATCTTATATATTAATGGGTCAGAAACACCACACCACAGATGTGCTTAGTTGTTGTAGCTGCTGATTCTCACTCTGAATCTGTTGCTTTTTCAACTGCGGTTAAAGTTTTTAAATGTCCTGGTTGTTTTGCATTGTGTCTCAGGACTACCAGGAGGAGATCACAGTGGCTGAGGACAACAAGCTGCACCTGCATCAGCTGGGAGAACGCCTGGCCAGAGCCAGTCACCAGAGCAAAGCCAACGAAATTGAACAAAAGCTCAACAAAGTCAGTGACCGCTGGCAGCATCTCCTTGATCTCATAGGAGCGAGGTGAGAAGACACTCACACCCGTGTAGAAAGTTTGCTTTGCTGTTTTGATCCCCTGCTGGAGTATTTTGAATGTAAATATGCTGACAAATCGTGTTAACAGAGTGAAGAAGCTGAGAGAAACTCTGGTAGCCGTCCAACAACTGGATAAAAACATGAGCAGTCTGCGCTCCTGGCTCGCTCACATCGAGACTGAGCTGTCCAAACCCATCGCCTACGACTCCTGCGACTTCCAGGAGATTCAGAGGAAGCTCGATCTGCAGCAGGTGACCTAAAATACTACGTAGTGCTTAAGATGTGCACAATTAACATTATAGATTTTCAATATATGACTAACAATTCATTGTTCACCTCAGATTATAAAGAGCTTTACTAGTCAACATATAGGTAGTAAATTTCCCTGGTTTTGAGTTTCCTTTTGCAGACGGTCTCTTAAATGATTTTGTAAAATGTATTTTCTAAAAACCTGAATGAAAATACTTTGTGTATTGTATTTTTTGCGGCCCATTACTGGACAAACTAGCTATTAGCTATTATTCTATTCATGTACTGAGGAACAATACTGGTACAAACACAAACTGGTGAATCATTTGGGGAATCCAACGTCACTATTGTAAAGTTTCAGACCATTATCTTTCTAATTCTATAATTGTCCTTCTCTTTCTCTTTCTCCTTATTTCTTATTTATACTCACTTTCTGTCACTCTATTCTTGCCATTTAGGAGCTTCAGCGTGATATAGAGAAGCACAGTACAGGGGTGGCGTCTGTGCTGAATCTGTGTGAGGTACTTCTGCACGACTGTGACGCCTGCGCCACCGATGCAGAGTGCGACTCCATCCAGCAGGCAACTCGTAGCCTTGATCGCCGCTGGAGGAGCATCTGTGCCTTGTCTATGGAGAGGAGACTAAAGTAAGAGCTCATATGTTAAATGAATATAAAAATAGTGGATAATATGGACATGTATAAATACTACATTCTGTTAATATTTTGATTATATTTTACATTTTTTTTATTTTTGATAGGATTGAGGAGACGTGGCGTTTATGGCAGAAATTCCTAGATGATTTTGCACGTTTTGAGGAGTGGCTGGCCACTTCAGAGAAGACTGCAGCTCTGCCTAACTCCTCCGGTGTGCTCTACACTGTCGCCAAGGAGGAACTGAAGAAATTTGAGGTATTTTGTGCTTACACTGTGTAACCAGTTCAAAGCTATCACAGAATGCAGAAGAATCGTGGCAAACATTGCTATGATTTAGTAGCAATGTTTGGCACGATTCTTTGGGGGAAAATGGAGGAAAATTTGACGTCCCAGGTACAGATAGACATATGACGACATATAAAGCGTGTTTTAAAGAAACATGCATCGATGTGTTTCTGCAGGCCTTCCAGAGACAAGTTCACGAAAGCCTGACCCAGCTAGAGTTAATCAACAAGCAATACCGCCGCCTGGCCAGAGAGAACCGCACTGACTCTTCCTGTCGTCTGAGGGAGATGGCTCATGACGCCAATCAGCGATGGGACAACCTGCAGAAGAGGGTGGCATCCATCCTTCGCAGGCTCAAGGTACAGTGTCCCTTCTGCTAAGTCATATGTTATTACAGCTACATTTCCCTAAAGATTTTGTTTGTTTGCAATTTTCATCCTCAAGTGTGTTTCTAAACTTTTCTTCCCAGTTTGACGTTAGATGTGTGTTTTGACTGTTTATGTGAATGTTAAGATCATGACTAATGAAGCCACGGAAAAGGTTTCGTTGAGCTGAACGTATACAACTCATTTCCGCAGTGTGTAAATGATTCTAAAAGCAACATCTCTTTTTCAAATATGCAGCACTTTATTACTCAGAGAGAGGAGTTCGAGACAGCCAGAGACGGCATTTTGGTTTGGCTGACAGAGATGGACCTTCAGCTGACCAACATCGAGCACTTCTCCGAGTGTGACATTCAAGCCAAGATCAAACAACTCAGGGTAAGTTTGTCGTAATATTTGCAGATTTCTTCATTTTTGATCGATCACAGAATAAGTTTACATGTCGATCTATTGTAGCTTAGGTCATGATTCAAATTTTAATGGAATGACTTGCAAACATGCATAAAAATATTGTTTTTATTTCTATGACTGATAAAGTGGCCGTGCAGTTTTGTTCAATTTAAAAAGTGACCAGTTCTTGTATAATTTAGACTATAGTGTGGAAGGCCTAAATATGTATTAAGAATGAAATCAGGACTTCTTGATGTTTAAAAAAACATGGGAAAAGTCTGTTATCCTTTATTTATTTACACATTTTATAAGCTTTCATGAACTTGTTATATGTAATGTTATTTGCCATTATGAAGAGCAGCTAAACTGACATTGCGTAGTTCACAGTGCAAGATAATCATCACGCAAGTCCTACTAGACATTATAAGCACCTGGAAAATGTGTATATTTGAATACGAGACTCCCATAACATTGAAAACTCCTCTTGCCCGTCAGTCGTTCCAGCAGGAGATTTCTCTGACAACAGCCAAGATCGAGCACATCTTCCACCAGGGTGAGGCGCTGATAGAGAAGAGCGAACCTCTGGATGCTGCTGTCATCGAGGAAGAGCTGGAAGAGCTGCAACGCTACTGCCAGGAGGTTTTTGGTCGAGTGGAGCGCTACTACAAGAAACTCATTCGCCTTCCTGTAAGACCTCAGATTAAAGATGACAATTTTCTTTATCAGTCAGAGAATTCAATCTATGATGGCAAATCTCCATATTCATCAACAGTATTCGACAGTAACGCCCTCTTTTTGAATATATTTTTCATTGATCTTCAGCTTGCAGACGATGACACCGAAGTGTCGTTCTCGGATCGTGAGCTGGAGCTGGACGAACCCTGTGATTTGTCCAGCCTGCCATGGAGTGAACGTCTGGGGGATGGCTTCCTGTCACCTCTGCCCTCCTCCGGTCGCTCAGCCTCCCTGGCAGCCCAGCTCCGGACCGAGCGCTCGGGCAGGGACACCCCGGCAAGCGTGGACTCCATTCCCCTGGAGTGGGACCATGATTACGACCTGAGCCGAGGGCTTGAGAGCGCCAGCAGGGCCCTGAGGGAGCAGCAGAGCGAGGAGGGAGACTTCCTCCATCGTCCTGCCTCAGGCCTGTCAGGTTAGTTTCATTTACACCTACATTTCATGAAGTAAAAACGATTTCTCAGACTTTTGCTTGTAACAAGGGTAAATCTGTTTCTGTTTCTGTGATGTTTAATGTTAAAGTTGGAAGAAAGAGATGTCTTTAGCCTGAATTCAAAAACCTGTGTCATCATGCATCAGTTCAGTGAAAGTGTACATCAGCATGACACTGCAAAATGTTTAGTAGAGTTTGACATCTGACCTGTCTGAGAAACCAACAACAATACATTGGGGTTCTGTAAGGACTGATTTAGTGAGTGAAGTGTTTTTCCTGTGACTGTCGGTGCATCAACAAGGTTAAAGGCAGCAGTTAATCAGCTCTTGAAGTCAAACATTGTCAAGCCCACTGCTGAATGTGTGTACTGTATAATGTTTCTTCCAGATGTAGTGATCCCAGAGAGCCCTGAGGCCTATGTTAAACTAACAGAACAAACACTGAGGTCCTCCACTGGTAGGCAACAGCAGACCCCAGCATGCCACTTGTGTTTGGGGCCAGAAATAACAGCCTCACTCTGAGTGATACCACACTTATAGCGTATTCACCGGCTTGGTTGATTTGTGTTGGTTTCCTCTCTTATACACACTTTGGGCACCACTTCCTAACACCGGGGAATAGGATCAATTCCATTTTTCTCTCTTCAATTCGCTGGTTCTGCGTTGGGCTCTAATTCAGCAGAACGGAAATGGAATTCAGCCTAACCCTTCTTTCTAACTGGCTTTTCTTACTTTTGTTTGACTTGCAGTGTGCTGTGTAGCTAACCTGTTTGGATTTTTTTCATATGCATTTTGTGTTTCAGAAAAGCATGTTGGTTTATTTTTGTCACAGCGAGCAAGTCTGAACTGGTAGAATCTAATAGAAGGGATTGCAGATTTGTTTAAAGCTGTCATACACACGGTTCACACGGAAGCAAATCCTCTAAGAAAAAGGCTTTGAACGCTCAGTTATTTCAAATGAGGGATGCGGCTCCTGATGCAGGTCGACCTGGGGAGCACTGCGGCATGTTAAACTGCACCATGAGTGACAAGTGGTCGGTAAAACCAATCTGCAGTCCTGTCTACTTCTCCTCATTTTTTGCTCTTGTGTTTCTCTATCTGATGGGGCCTTACCTTCTCTTGGGTAGTTAAGCATATTTCAAATAATCACAATGACCAAATATTTATTTGTGTTCTACAAAAATGACGAGTTGATGTTGTGTCAACAGGGGAGGTCGCCTCTGCAGACTCTCAAATTCACCCTCTCGATGTCAGCCGGTTCCACCTACAACAGATGGACACCAGCCGCAGCCGCACTCCCACCAGCACCGAACTGGACGCCTCATATATGGGATACGTACGTGTTACTCTTCCAGCTAAATGCAAATTAAATGACTCGTTCATTGAGTCTTTTTGTTGACTTAACTGTGCATTGAAGCATAATTAATTCTTCTTTGTCTATTTATGTGCAGTTTGCCACCAATACATTGGTATAAGACTCAAAAATCAGTTTGTTTAAATAATTTATTCTAAAAGTATATATATGTATTATATTAAAATACATAATAATATTTTGTCAGACTACAAATATAACTTTAAGTGTTTGCGCCACTATTGAGTTTAAAATATTTGTCAGAGGGTTAAAATGTATGTCATATCCTGAAATACTCAATCTAACCTGCCTACACTGTCTGTAGTAACCCCACATCCGTCTGTTCTGTAGATGCGACTGCTGGGTGAGTGTCGTGGCAGCATCGACACCGTGAAGAGGATGGGCTTTGAGCTGAAGGAAGAAGAGGATACAGTGTCTGGACTGGCAGATCCCAGTAGCTCAGAATCCCAGACATCAGGTAGTACTTCACCAAAACATTTTCTGCAGACATGTATCCTACATTACCATAAATGTAAATTCACCTAAGAGCATACGCTAAAAATGTGCACATGTTATCATATCAAATGAAGGAAGATCTGAATAACCTAGCCTGCTCTGAAAAGAATACAACGTATGTGATACAACATATAACAGCCCTTATAATGACCAAGATAACAGCAGTAATGGCAATGCATATTACCTTGACAATAAGGACTCAAAGCGGGTAATGTTTCTCAAAAGGAAGGTTTGAAATGTGTTTATGTTGGCAGACTCTTATCCAGTGGGATGAAACTCTGGGAAATGCAGCTAACAGTCTTTTTTTTAAATCTCATCTTTGTTGTATCTTTTTTTTCCCTCTTTGTCTGTTCTATTTAGGAGTAATTGAGCGCTGGGAGCTCCTGCAGGCTCAGGACCTCAGTAAAGAGATGCGCACGAAGCAGAACCAGCAACAGTGGCAGCAGCTGAACTCTGACCTGAACAAAATTTGGACTTGGCTGGGAGAAACGGAGGAAGAGCTGGAGCAGCAGCGGAGACTCGACCTGAGCACGGACATCCAGACGATTGAGCTGCGCATCAAAAAGCTCAAGGTCTTACTGTCGCCTTTTTAATTGAACCTTTTCTTTTTTTGTTTCTTTCTTCTTTTTTTGTTTTTTTTTTTACTGTTAACTTCTTTTGATGACATTACCATTACTTTTTTTTGTTTTTATATAGTTTTATTAACTGTATAATGTTGGTCTACAGGAACTGCAAAAGGCATACGACAAGCGCAAGGCTATTGTGCTTTCCATCAACCTGTGCAGTGCTGAGTTCCTGCAGACAGACACAGAAGAGTCCAGAGAGCTGCAAGCCAAATTAAAAGACATGAACAACCACTGGGACAAACTCGGCAGCTCACTGGAGGAGTGGAGGTCTTCGTTACAGGAAGCTCTCATGCAATGCCAAGTGAGTGCTATTCAATTCAATTATATTTGTGAATCTTCTCATACGTGTACAGCAGTTGAGTCTGATCTGCGTCTGATCAACAGGATTTCCATGAGATGAGCCACGGTCTGCTGCTCTGGCTGGAAAACATCGATCGCAGGAGGAATGAGGTGGTTCCCATTGACCCGATCCAGGACAGTGACACTCTCCACGAGCATCATAAAACACTTACGGTAATGAATCTTAGCTTTACTTCCAGGCATGACCATAGATTGTATATAAAATATGGGTGTACCCAGTATGACATCACCCATTGGTTTGTGGACTGCCTCAAGGTGTCTCAATGTACTCAAACTACCCTGCTTTGTGATCTATTTTCCGCTTAGTAGGAATATGATTTATAAAATGAAAATTATACTGTACTGAAGGAGACTTGTAACAATAGATTGAGACCATAAACTCATTAGGAAAATGTTTGCTGAGGTAATAAATCAAGGAAGATGTTGGGTTATGTTCTCATAGACTTCTTTACAATTGGCTTCTGTTTGTACCCTGAGGTGTTACAATGTACGGCTTTTCCGCATTGGCATCACTTTCAGACCTGGAGGCTGTGTCCATCTTTTATACACAGTCTATAGACATGATAACACCCTTAACTAATAAACTGAAGCTTGTTTCGACATATTTCTGCTGTATTTAAGTAACATTCGACTTTACCTCAAATCCAGTGCAAGAGACCACGTTAATATTTCTTATTTAACGTTTATTTTTTCTTGTTTTTGAATTTACGTCTTAAATTTCAAATCCCCACAGCAAATCCGCCAGGAGCTGCTGGACTCTCAGCTTAAAGTCGCCTCCCTACAAGACATGTCCCTCCAGTTGCTGGTCAACTCTCAGGGCAGCGACTGCCTGGAGGCCAAAGAGAAGGTTCACGTCATCGGGAACCGCCTCAAACTGCTGCTAAAGGAAGTGACCCGAGACCTGCGAGAGCTGGCCAAGATTCTGGACATCACAAGCAGTCAACAGGTAGAGCTTCATTTACTTCTGTGTTACCTGTACGACTCTGACTTGACACCTTGAGATTTTACAAACAGCCTTTCATATTTATTGCAAATTTCAGGGATGAATATTTCCTCCAGTTCTCTGCTTCTTTGTCCAAAGCTTTTCAAACCCATTTAGTTTAATCTCACTTGCTGATTTTGTACTTTGTTCATCATCTGATTTGTGTTTTCTGTTTAACTACATTTAAAAACATTTCCTTGTATTAGGGGTCTTCATTAGGAGGCCAAAGTTTTACAGGCATCTGTAGAAACAACAAGTTATACAATGTGTTTTCCAATATGCTTCTTTATTTCGTTCCTGTGTCAAGTTTTAGGATTGCATCAGTGTTTTTCTTTTTCTCATTAGTAAATAAGTGAAAAGGTAACAAAAAAGTCTGGACTGTTAACTGTAAAGGCTTTTTTTTCTAAGCTGAGGTGTCACCACCCAACAATTAAACTGCACCTTGCACATTGGGTCATTGCCAAGGATTCACATGAGTTTGGTTAAGTTTGGTTTGTTTTTTTGTTTTCTAAAGTATTTAAGAAAATCGTGTTGAAGCCACAGTAGTTAGAAATGTGGAAAAAGCAAAAACAAATGCCAGAATGTGAAAATACAACCCTGTCCCTGCAGCTTTACCCACCGAAGCACCTCAAAACCAGATATGCTCAAGCATGTGTACACTCTTAAAATACATTTAAAATAGTCAAGCATAATAATAAGCTGCTCTTTATAGTATTTCCATTGATCTACTGGCATTTGACATGGGCTGCATCTTCTAAAGCCTGAAAACAAAGCGAGACGGGAGTGTAGAAGTCTAGTTAGCTGTCACACCACTTGAATTACAATCTTCTGAAAGGTTTTTGTAGAATTTTTCGCGCAATAACATCAAAATATTACTGCCCGCACCGACTTTAACAAGTCAGGGGGCCATCTTTTTCACTGGAGAGCCACATTTCAACAACAGATCTGCTGCTATGTACCTTCCACTATTGGATATCTCACATGTTCCTCTTTTTCTGTCTCTGTCTTTGCAAATGTTTTCATTGTCAGGATCTGTCCTCTTGGTCGTCTGCCGATGAGCTGGACACATCTGGTTCCCTCAGTCCTGTATCAGGAAGGAGTACACCGAGTCGGCGACGATCGGTAACGTTTAAGCCTCCATGTACATGCTGCTCTATGAGAACCAGGCGTTTGGTAACCCCCCACTAGGACACGTACAGTAACTTGTGCCCCGAATGCCCCGCTGAAGTCCAGATTCATCCCTGTCATCCCAAGATCTCTCCTCACACCTTTCTACACCTCCACAACCTGCTTTACACTCCCTCCCTCTGGATTCTGAACTTTTTCCCAACCTCTTCTCGCACGTTTTTCTCCTCCCAGGCAATCTGGGGAATCTTTTCTTTCTAACTTTATATTTCTACCTTCCTTTTCTTGGCAGACCTTTTTCAGTTCTGCTCTAGTTGTCTCTTTTTCTCTTCCAAACTGAAACCTCTCCTCTAACTGAGACCTTCCTCTAAATTCTTCTCACTCTAGTTTGTTTTTTTCCCCCCTGTAGTCTTATTCTTAGTAATACTGGCTATCATGACACTGCTAAAATTATAACATGAGCATAGAACATGTAGTTGGTTTTGTGATTTAGCGAGCATGACTTCGTATTTGTTTTTATATTGTCAGCAACAAGAATGAGAACGCAATCAGTCCAAATAAGCATGTCATTGCTTATACTATGTGTATGTTACTAAATGTCACTGTTACCAAAGAGATTCATGCATCTCATTGCATAATTTGTAGCTTCCTATTTGCCCTTTATTGCACTCACAAAGGGAAGCAATTCAAAGTAGTCATGCACGATGAAAAGCCAGATTCCTTGTAATTACGGGTTACGAAAATCTGTCACCTTCACGTATGATTTTGTTGCTGCTCTTCTCTCATTTTGGGTTTTTTCTTTTCATCGATAGCTTTGTCTTGATTTGCCTGGACTGAAACATACTTTCTTTCTTTTACCTCCCCTCCCCCCCCTGTTCATTGCAAACAGCAACGGGGCAAATGTAGTCTGTCACAGCCTGGACCGTCTGTGAGCAGTCCACACCACAGGTACCTTTCTGTTGGTTTCTAGCACACCCAGAAGATAATGGAACTCATCAGCCCATGATGCGCTTGGAGACCGGTTCATGCTTTCTAATGCAACATTTAAAGAACAAAACAAAAAAAAACAACAACTCCCAATTCCTCTTTATTGATGCTTGTGCCAGTTTAGCAGCTCATGATAGTGAATTCCATCATCTTCTGTCAGCCTAGACGCTCTGTGTAGGTTAGGCGGTGAGGTGAGTGGCAGCCCCACACATCCTTGATAAAAGAGTGTCACAAGGAATGGTGCAAGGCCTCTTCTCCGCCCGTGTCTTTGGCTGCTTAATATCGCTAACCGGAGGGCGTTTCTTAACACAAATACTTCCCAACATCTAACTCTCCCTTTGCTAGCGCGCACACACACACACACCTTTTTTTTTTCCTCAAATTTCCGAGCCAGTAAATGTCTGCAATGAACAATGCAAAGGCTGCAGTTTCTCTTTCTCTCTCTGGCGCTATCTCTCTATGTCTCTCTCTTTTGTACGTGACATTTCTTCTTCCTCTGCTGCTGCTATCTCACTGACTATCCACCATCTCCTCCCCTCAGTCTGTCATCTGTGAGTCTCACCTCTCAGGTCTCCATTTGTCAAGTGGTAAAGGGGCACTTTTGGTAACAATAAAGTCACAACCTGAGTGTAATTCATACGCCATTTCGCTCATGCATTCCTGGAGTGACTGATAACTTTAAAATATATGTTTAAAGAGCCCATTCTCACAGTAGGTATGTAAATAAGCTCCTATGTATTTGTAATTCCCTTTAAGTAACCATGTCGTCTAACATTTGAGGCTGTAAGAAGACAGTTTTTACTGAGGGTGATGGTGACTTTAACCCTCTGAACCCCAAGCAGTGTCTGGACGATTTAGTTTCTTTTTTTTTTTGGTCACATTTTTACACACTCTGGGCTTTTTCAAGTCCTGCAACTTCATAGAAACAGCACAACCAAGGCTAGAAGTAACTCAAAGGTGACTTTTAAGCAGTATAACAGAGACATAATGTGATAAATGAGAAAACAAAAGAGACAAACTAATATTTTTCATGCTACTCCGGCCATCAGCTTGGGAAAAATGTTTCACCATGCAGAATTATATTTTATTTTCCTCCCAATCTCTAATTAATTTCCATACACGTTTCCTTACTGCTCTGTGTGAACACTACCTGCAATTAAGCCGAAAAGTGCCTGAGTTTCTGTCATGTGACTTCTGGTCGCAGCTGCAGGCTTTATTAGTTGCATTGAGGAGCTTAGAATTTTTTGTTTTTAACATTATCTTCTTACTATGAACACTTCCTTTTTTGACATATTTTTAAACAAGACATATAGAGTAAAGAAGCTGATGAGATATCAAGATTTTTGGCTTTTTTTGAGGGTTATTTTTCTCAATGCAGCTGTCCTTCACACGTGACTAGTTCAAAAAAACACTGGAAAGTTGAAAATGTACTGATTCTTCCAGTTTTCACAGTTTCTAGATCTTAAAAAGTCAACACACCATTCAAACTTGCCCACAGGTTTTGGGGTTCAGTGGGCTAAATGAGACAGTAAAATTAATTTAATAGTGTTTCGTGTAATCTGCTTATTTGTTTTCTTGCTGAGAGCTCTCTGACTTAGAAGTGGAGGTGGTTAGAAACAGCCAGGCTGGCTGTTTCCTTCTCCCAGGCTGTCTCTTTAGCTCCAGCTTCACATTTAACATCATACTTTATAAAATGGTATCAAACTTATCATCTAACTATAATTTTAAAAAATTGAATTTCCATGTTTCCCAAACTACTGCTTAAAAACAAGCACAGCTAAACTACCTTGTCAAAGAAGCTGTTTCTAATTGCTATGCTCTTCTTGCCTCGGCATGCTTTGCATTTTTCAACAGGACACAAACTTTCAGAGTCCGTTGTTAAAAACAAGAACATGTTAATATTCAGCTGATACTTGCAGCATGCCTTTTGTCTTTTATCCTAACACCTTTTACAAAGGAATGCAAGCTCACGTATTAAATGTACTCGTCTGGTGCAGGATTGCAGTATGTCTGCCTTGAAGGCTGTTTGTGACTGTCTTTGTAACTGTGTTGATCCACCCAGTCTCAGTCAGCATGTAGATCACAATGTTAAACATTGTCCCAACATTGCTTTCACCTATGTTGGCAATGTCTTCCAACCATAGCATGGTGCTTATGTTGAAGCACTGCCATGCAGTTCCCCCTTCACTGAACTGAGATCTTATTTGGATTGAAAACAGGCACCTGAACAATGAAGCCTGTGCAGAGGATATTAAATTAGGATGTGGTCCAAGTGAAATTTCTTTATTGGGTTAGACAAATGTAATTTGTTAGTTATTTTTTGGAGCCTATTTTTGTAGAAAAGACAAACAGTCTGACATTTAATGGTGTTGCAATGTGATTATGCAGTTGTGACAGCAGTAGTTCAGGTGAGAGAGGGACTTAGTGCGTCCTCCTCGATCGACCTTGTTGACTAAACCTCAGTGTGTGCTGCGTTTGTGGATGCGTGTGTGTGATCAGGTCTCGCAGCGACGTTGGATCCGCTTCCTCCCCTTCTGACTCGGAGACGCCGTCGGCTCGTAGGTCCTCGTTTCTGTGGCGCGTCCTCTGGGTCGCGCTGCCTCTCCAGCTCTTCCTGCTCCTGCTCGTGGTCTTTGCCTTCCTGCTGCCACTGTCCGAGGAGGACTACTGCTCTCAGTCCAACAACTTTGCTCATTCCTTCTACCCGATGCTCAGCTACACCAACGGGCCGCCTCCGGTGTAGGTGGGCCGCTCTGACCACGTTTGACTTCTTGCATCACCTGGTATCTTTGAAGTCCTGTTGGGAGCAAAAACTAACCTTGGTCATCCATTTGTACTACAAAAAAAAACAAAAAAACAGCTGCCATCTCCAGTTAATATCTTTGTGTGTAGCACATAGGATCAAGCATCTCACTATGTTACTCTGTGTAATGCTGTGTCAGTTAAGGAGCATTTTTTTTTGGTGTGACAAATCTGGAGAGACTCGGGTTTGTGCCCACAGTGGACATCAGCTGGATGAACTGTTCACTCAGTGGTGTGTTGTATGTCTCTGAAGGGAACCGTCAGTGGATAACACCAAAGTAAAAATGCTGAATTATAGCCTGTGAATCTGCTTGTAACCGAAAAATTTGTAAACAACAACAACAAAAAAAAAAACATTTAATATATCTTACATTGCAATTATTTTTTTACCTGTATTTTGGCATGCAGTTTTAATCTTTTGCTTTTTATTTACTTTCATCCTTCACTGTGTCTGTGGTAAACAATCCATTTTTAACTTGAATTACATCGATTCATGTCCGAGTCATTTAAGCCAAGTCGAGCGTTTTAATATCGAGACACAGTTCAAGAGTTTAAAATCAGTCATCCATGGTCTTTATACATTCTGCTGTTTTATTTTTTAAAAGTATCGAATCTGTCTTTAAGATTGAGAATTATGACATATAGAAAACTATTGTATATTTTGTATGAGCGTCGGTTCAGTATCAAATGTATAACAGTCCAAGATTATTTAACATGTGTATATAATGCAAAAAAATTAATATGAGAAATGTATGTATATGCGACCATCAGAAACAATGAATGCCAAATCCTCATTCTGATATTTGTCTTTTTATTGGATTTCTTTATCATCTGCTTTTTGTATGTGCATTTTAACTTGCTTTTTAGGTAATTCCTTAACATTTTTCAACACTTCAAGTTATATTTGGCATGAAAATAGTGAATAAATTTAGGTTTCGTGAAGGGGAACCGCATCGCCCGGACAAGCAGACCTGCAGCTAGAAACATCCACAGCAGAGGAGTCGGGAAGGATTTGCGGCGGATGAAGCCATTGGTGAGTAGAGCAGCTCCAGGGTGGGTTAACGTGATGATGAAGGTGATGATGAGCATGAAGAAGGTTCTCAAGTAATTCGATGATTTTATCATTTGGATGAGTCAAAGCTGTAGCGTCCAGGCCCAACATCTGAGAAACCACCATCCGGAAATCCACCAACTGAACAATGGAGGACAAAAAAAGTTGATTGAAAATGTGCTTTTTATTTTCTGGGAAACAAGATGTTGCAGAATGTCGTATTTATTGTTCCTGACCTCTCTCTGGCTCTCAGACAGCTGAGCCAAACTCTGCCTGAGGGTGCTGAGCTGCTGCTGGTCCTCCCTGGTCTTCTTCTCTTGGCTCTGCAGGTCTGAACTCACTGTGCTCAGCTTCTTCTCCACCTTTGCCTTCACATCCACCAGCTGATCCAGCTTCTGTTTCTGCTCCTGCATGGTCTGACTCTGTTCCACGACTTTCAACTTGACATAGCAGAGACCCGATCGGGTGTTGGTGTTTATTCAGTGAATCAACAGCTGCTTTATTTGTGTGTATTGGCTCTCAGATATTCAGATACTTTGTTAAATGTGCATCAGGACCAAGTTGCTTTATGTAACAGATTCAGAATTACAGTATTTTCCCCCAAACGTACCACAAAATGAACACAAACACACCAAACATCATGAGGTGAAAATGCCTCTGGAGTGAAACTGTGTCCAAACCCTTCTGCCCTCTACCTTGAGCTCACTGGTGTGGGAGAGCTGGGCCTTGAGCTCAGTGTTGGACAGCTTGGTGGCCTTCAGTTCGACTTGCAGACGCTCCACTTTCTTCTGCAGCCTCCTGACCTCCAGATGAGCATCATCTCGTTGCACAGCCAGCGCTGATCGACTCCTCTTCTCCTCCTCCAGCTCTGAGAGCTTCTTCCTCAGGAGCTGGATGTGGAGTCCTTTGCTTTCTAGTTGGTCTTTCTGTGACTTTAACTATTAGGAGCGGGAATACTTTGATCAGAGGAGCATCACTTGTCATGCAACACACTTGTAGAAGCTTGTGACAAAGATTATTGTGGTCCAGATGTGAGTAAATATCACAAGTGTGTTGACTACCTTTCTCTGTAAGCTGTAAGTCAGGCTTTTACTCTCCACCAAAGCATTTCCCTCGTGTCTGACAAGTTGCTCTGCACGTGACAGGATGAGTTTCAGCCTCATGTCGAAGCCCAGATCCACAGCAATACCGTCAACCTTCATCATCTCTGACAGCTGCTCCAGGAACTCCTCATGCTGTTAAAGAAATAATCAACACCTAATCCTTATTACCTGCCTTCATTGTGCATTTACTTGTACCTGTCACATATTTCCAGCCCTGCAGCTTCACTCACCTGCACTTTGCTGTGTCTCAGCCCGTCTCGATGCATGTCGGCTGTCAGCAGCTCGGCCTCCAGACCCTGCAGTCTCTCCCTCAGGTCCTGGACTTGCTGCTCTGCGAGCTGAGCTCTCAGTTGTGTGCTTTGCTGGAGCTCCATCTGCTCAGTCAGCTGCTCAGAGACACGACGCAGCCTCGCCTCCATGTCTGACAGCGTCTGCAGAGCCAGAGCAGTAAAACTGGGTAGTTACAAGCCCAAGTGTTAATGTACAGACATAACTGTACTGTAGTACTTGGAAGAAGTATTTAGATGTAAAAGCATTCCATTACAGGTATAAGTTCTGCAAAATTTCCTACTTTACAGAAAGTATATAAGCATTAGCAGCAAAATGTAGTTATAGCATTAAAGCCTAATATACGAACATTTATAATGTGATTAGATTATTTATAGGGAAGCATCAGTGTGTCCGCAGCAGTTACTGTTTCTGCTGAGGCTGGAGCTCGTTCACACACAGTTTTATATATTAATCAGATAATTTATGAGTGAAAAGAAGAAGAAAAACATTCTGATAGATTTGTTGGTTATTGGCTTTTTTTGCGGGTGAGATATTGGATCATTTAAACTTTTGCTTAAATGAAATCATGTGAAAAGTTTTGAGGAAACATCACAATTTTGTGGAGTAGAGAACAACTCTGACATCTGAAATGTGACCCCAACTTCATACAGCTTTAACACAACGGAAGAAAAACCATCAGGAAAGCACTGGTTTAATCTTTAACAACGTATTGTGTTGTAAAAGTGTTTTCTGGTGTGCATTGTGTCAGATTTCCATCTTAAAAGTAATCAAAGCTGTCACATAACTGTAGTCAGTAGAAAGTACAATATTTCCCTCTGGAATGTAGCTGAGCAAAAATAAAAATTAGCATAAAATGTAAATAGTTAAGTACAAGGACTTCAAAATTGTACCTAAGTGCAGCACTTGATTTAATGTACTTATGACTTGATTAATTTAATTCTAAGCTGTTTTACAGTTTTTCCTGTCAGTCTTATGTGACAGACTTGGTTTGTTTTCCGATTAATAATAAAAATGTAAAAAAATACCAAATAGTTTATAATTTAAATAAATTGTATTAAATAAGCCAATAGAAATGTGAACAAAATTAGCTCTTCTGCAAGTGGCTGCAAAATGAAATGCTGAATATAATTTCTCTGAATGCATCAGAGAAATTGATCGTATAGTAAAAGATATCCTTTTTTTGGCTGCAAATACAAGTACATGCACAGTGTTTATATAGCTGTATTTTGCTCATAATATTTACTTGATATTATTTACTTGAGTAATTGATCTTCTTCCATGACATTTTATATTATTTTAGACAACATAATATATTAACAACTGTAATGCATGTTTTAAATGCTAGCAAATTGTTTGTCATAAAAAACATGACACTTTTCAAGTAATGTGTGTTCATGCAAAAAAACAAACACAAGTTAGGTAACATTGTTGAATTCCTCTTCTTGCAGTAAAGGGCCAAAACTCTAATTTAGTGCAAACAAGTGTGTTTTGTTGTGATTGAATAAAGACCACAAGTTGAAATGCGTTGGTCTTATGATAAAGTTGGTATTTATGTCCCAAGTGTTGTTGGATTGTTTACTTTTAAAGACCTTGGTAGTCGTATCAGAAATCCCCCGTGTGATTCGTCACCTTGTTGCAGAGGTTGTCCAGGTTCTGTAGAACCTCTCTCTCTTTCGGCAGGATGACGTCCTCAGACCTCTCCTGCAGGACCTCGACCACCTTCTCCAGGAACATCTGCAGTTTCCCCTCAGCTGCCTGGGTCTTCCTTTCTAGCTCCTCCACCTGTTTCTCCAAACACTGTGACTCTCTCCTGGCTGCCTCTATCACTCTCCTGCTGGCTTCAAGCCTCTCAGTCAGGGTGTGCTTCTCCATCTCAACGCTCCTCCGCCCCACCGTCAGGCCGTCCAGCTCCTGGAAGACACAAAAAACACCACAGTGCTGTCAAAGGGGTAATTCCAGAGCAGAACTCACTGAAGAGAAGGACGTCATGTCCTGGATGGCTACTTTATTGACTAATTTCAGTATTTATACCTCAAAGCATTACATCTGACTACATTTAAAACAACAAATTAATACAGAAGCACTATTTATCCCCCACAGTTTTATTACTTACTGTGTGTGAAGGCTGTTTGCCCATTTTGACCTTCAACACCCAGCATTTAGAGGTTGTAACAGCATTGTAAACACTATTAAGGAGACTTTTGTGTTGTGAAAGTACCACTTTGAGGGAATCCATTGCGGCTGCACTGCTGGCGGTCCTCCTCCTCTCCTGGTCGAGCTCAGCCACCAGCCTCAGCACCGTCTCTCTGCTGGCTTTACACTCCACCTCGCAGGACTTCACACTTTCCTCCAGAACAGCAATCCTCATCTTCAGCCTCTCCTTCTCGTTAGACTGGCAGTTTTAAAACCCACATAATTATTATATTAGATATTCAATAGAAAGTGTTTGTTTTAACGTTTGTGTCTAGGCTATTTGAATACAAAAAAAAACTGCCAACTTAAGGAACAATTTAGTTCTCGCACAGAATGATTGAATCCAGTGGATATTTTAATTATCAAAACATACCTCATCAGACTTTTCCATAATTAGAAGTGTTGCAGGACAAGTGTACAGCTGGAGATAGTTGGTTCTGTTTTAAGAAGTCTCCTGGCAACACCAAACACAGGCTCCACCAGGTTTAACCAGAGGAGGTGCTGTAGTCGGGACTTCATCAGGTTGTGTAGGTGAAAAGTTACAGGTGTTTCCAAAACACACATTAGAGAGATTTAGACCTTTGGGTGGATGTTGATCAGCATATATGAAGACAAAGAAAAAAATAAGTTCCAGGAAGAAGACATTTTAATATGTAGTCTATTTATTTTTGTTGTTGTTGTCGAGTTTCACATCGAGCTGTGGATGGACTCCACTACACATTTTGGACTTTTTTTTCCCAGTCAAGAACTGAATCAATATGATACAACTTTAAGAGAGCTTAACAACAAGAAAGCAACTAAAATCAATTATATGTTCAACATTTTTTAAAACAGATTTTATTTTAAATCTTTTTATTCAGAAATATGCATCAACTTACCTTGTACTTTAATTTTTATTTATTTCCATTTAGGTACCCCCAGCAAGAACAGTTTGTTTCCTGTTAATATTTTTAATGTTCTTCAGAAAAAAATAAATGTACAATAGACTTTATCCATTTGGAAAGTTATTGGGTTTTGATTTAAATTAAATGCAGGACCAATTTAATTTGTTGTTAAACAGGTCAAGCAAATGTGCAAAATACCATAAAATATAATAACAAAGCAGCTGATGGACATGAAAGTCAACTAAAAGGGTTTTAAGGCCATGAGTTCTGTCTTTCAGGTAGCTCCAGCCTGAGTCTTCATCTGTACATAACGTATTCAGGAGTGTTTGTTTTTGTTTTTTATTTAAATGAAAGCAGAACTTAAAAAAAAAAATAAAAAAATATGGCCCAAGATCAACTCATCTATTATTCTGATCGCAACAGATTGGCGATAATATGATATAGTTCATTAAAAACGTTGTGCAATTACTTTTACAGTTTTTAAACGTCAGGGTTCTTTACCAAAGTCAGAGTTTTTTTTTTCTGTCATGTTTACAATATTGTTGCAGATATTTTTCTGTTTCATAATTTTGGTTTATTGTGTTATGTGACTTTATGGAGTGAACCTTTTCTCCTTATTAGCATCTGCATCTCTTCTTCTGGACTGTTTAAGTCATCTATCCATCCATTATCTATACACTGCTTAATCCTCTCTATGGTCATGGGGGGCTGGAGTCTATCCCAGCTGACTCAGGGTGAAGGCAGGGGACACCCTGGACAGGTCACCCGTCTATCACAGGGCTACACTTAGAGACAGACACCAAGCACAATCACACCTATGAATCACCAATTAACCTCAACATGTTTTTGGACCTTGTGGGACGAAGCCGGAGAACCCGGAGAGAACCCACGCTGCACGGGGAGAACATGGAGACTCCACACAGAAAGATTCCGGTGCCCCCACCAGGACGTGAACTGGCAACCTTCTTGCTGCGAGGCAACAGTGCTACCAGCTGCGCCACCCTGCAGCCCTGTTTAAGTCATCTAAATTAATATGAATTAAAAATGTATGAACAAAAGTACTTCCAAGGCAAACCTTTATAACTGAATGAAAGAGAAATAATTTGTCAAGTAAACATGTGAAAGAAGAAGCTTTAACTTTTAAAATTTTAAATCACTTATATTCATCCAAGCACGTCTTACATGGAAGGTTTAATTGGGAAAACAACGGGTGAACTCTGTGAGAGAGATATTGTGAATGTAGAACATTTTGTCATTCATTTTAAAACCTGTGCAGGAGTTGTGGCTGAAGGAGAAAAACTTGAACAAACTATTTGATTTTGTTTGGTTAACACTTTACATAGACCAAAATATCTAGAGGTTAGGGCCTGCATCAATGGATTAAAGAATAACATCAGGTTTTTCACAAAATCTCTTTATTACATGACAGCCTTGTTTATGTTGCTTGAATAAGACTCTCAATCATCATACATTTATTTTTGGATAATTTATCAAATGCTGTATTTTGTATAACAAAATTAAAAGTTATATTTAAATAAAAAGAAAGAAAGAAAGAAAGAAAGAAAGAAAACTTTAAAACCAGAAGAGCCTGACAAAACAGTAGCGTCCTGCAAGTCGCTACCCGCGGCTTCATGTCGCTTTAAGATGACGTCAGATCAACCCGGAAATGACAAAACTTTATTAGTAAAAACATTAAACACGCCTCCTCCTCGGTCTGTCCGCCAAACTCATGTAGCTATGTTCACAGTTGTATTTTATCAAAACGCTTCACTCAGTTGCCGTTTTCACACACCGTGAATCATTTTAACTTCGTCTTGATCTGAATCGCTGCTTTTTCATTGCTGGTAAGCTAACTGGCGGCTAACCGTGTGTGCAGCACACTGATCTGCAGCACGTTGATCACTGACTGTCTGACTGCTGATCACTTGTACTCTAAAGTTAACACCAGATATGTGAGTTTATTAGTTTTTGTGTGTGTATTATTCCCATAGTTTGTTTGTTATGGCTAAATAATAGACAGGGTGCTAGTGAGGATACGGCTAGCTGCTGTAGTCAAGGTCAGACCTGCTTGTTTTGGTTTCTATTGTTGTGTTTACATTGGATTTAGGATGTATAAAATGTAATATGTCAAGTGTAAATCAGTAGATAGTAAGAACTGCTGGAAAAAACAGTATTAGTGAGTGTTCAGGTATCTATTTAGTGACAGATCCAGGTTGGTTTACTGAGTTCTGTAGTTCTTGTATGTTAAATTAGATAACACAATCATTTACCTCCCTTCAGTTTTCCTCTTTTCTTGCTTTTCAACTGTAAATTATTTCCTTTCTAATCTGACCTTTTTGACTTGAACTTACAACAAAAAGACTGCTTGTATGATGAAACAGTATTGTGGCTTTAACTGCATCATAAAGACACAAGAACAATTTTGAAATGCAGTGAAAGAGGAAAAATTTCAGAGTGATATCACTTTGTATTGAATCAGCCTTTACTCCATGGTAACACAAGCAAAGTCGTCTTGTATGAAGGCTGAAGAGACAAGAGTGGTAAAGTGATTAACACATTTTGTTGCTGAGTGGAATCTGATCTGGTTGATGAATCCAAAATGCCATTATTCAGCTCTTGAAGTTGCACTAACTGCACTTTCCTGTGTTGCAGCTCACCTGCACGTCTGCAGAAGATGCTTCTCCGGACGTTGCTTTGCAGACTGGGAGCTCCGCGGCCTGCAGACAGTAAACCAGTCTGCCTTTTTGCCTCGGCCAGTCTCTCCCAGTCTCTCCAGCCCCACAAGTATGAATCCAAACCCAGGACTCACTCTGCTCCGTGGATCTTTTCAAGGACCTGCCATTTGAACTCTCTTCACCAACAGCACCGAGGACTGGCTGTTTCAGGTGGATTTAAAAGCCTAAGCGGTGCTTTGTTAGGTGACCCCAGGACACTGACTAATTGTAAAAGTGGACAAACACGTTTTTATTCGTCCAGCTTTGTAAAGACGGTGTTAAAATCAAATTTAAAACCAGTAGCAGTGCCTGGAATAAGGGCTCCCAAAGGACCACGGACAAAACAACCCTCTCGAGCCAATCAGCCTTCGCAGAGCGAGGTCAAGGTGATTAACCTGTGCTAATTCTTTTATCATTTAATACATGTTAAATTTTGGTTCGATGATTTACTCGGATGTGTTTGTCTTCGTAGGACATGATGCAATGCATTGCCTTTGCAACAGCAGATCAGTATCATTTGCCAACACTGTGCCACGACTTGACAAGCCACGGCTTCCAGGAGATAGATTTACCAAGAGGTGCCAGTTATAGTAGCACAAATATGACAGCTTTACAGGAAATTCACTGACGCATACTGTTTGGAGCCTTGTATGACAGTCATGCTTTGATTTCAGATGCCTCAAACGTGCTGGTGATCAGCACAGACATGGCTGCAAAACCAGAAGACGTTGCTGTAATGTTCTTCTTCAGGTTAGACTCTGTTCAGGCTTTTTCTTAAATATAAACAGACTAATTTAAGTTTGCAATCAACACACACTGCGTATCAAACTTCATTTCCTCTTGAGTAATGTCAGAAAATTCAGCATTAATAAATCATATGAACATCCTCAAATCAAATGTTTCTGGATGTGAATCAGAGCTTTTCTACATTTAAATGTGATTTAATCAGACAGAGTTCTGGTTTAACTGCTTGACTGATGCACTGATGGTTTATTTTACAACGTAAAGGAAAAGGTTGCAGAAAAAAATGTTTGTATTTCTTGTGATACTCAGCCCAGATTAAAGTGTTTTGATAACTAACTGATTGACTTTTTCAATCTGTATTTTCAGGGAAGGCTCAGTAGTTTTCTGGAACGTTGAAGAGAAAACGGTAAACCTCAACGTATATTGTAATATTCACTGTTTTAAATTCTAGCTCCCTTCTCTACTGTGATGGTTTTAACTGCGTTTTTTTGGTCTTTACAGTTGAAACAGGTTTTGAGAATATTGGAACGTCATGAGATCCAGCCGTATGAAGTAGCACTAGTCCACTGGGAGAACGAGGAGATCAACTACAGTATCGGAGAGTATGACGACGTCGACTCTTTATTTTGCTCATTTTCACACCTAAACGCGGGGCAGCTTTTCCTAAAATCTTCCCTTCCTCAGGGGAAATACGAATCTTGAGCGTGGCAGCTTTATTCTGTGTGACCACATGGATCAAAACGAAGCCGTCCTGGAGAAATTTGCGTTTTCAAATGCTCTGTGTTTGTCTGGTGAGGACCTGCACCTCAAGTTTAAACCATACACATCGTTTTGGAGTTGTACTCTGCGTCTAACCTCTTGCTTTCTTCTCTAGTGAAGTTGGCGATCTGGGAGGTTGCATTAGACAACTTTGTCGATTCGATTCAGTCGATTCCAGAGGTACAGTGGACACTTAACAGAAAACAGCAAGAAATGATGAATAATTGAGTATGTGTAATGGTTGTAATGGGGTGTCGGATTGTGTGTGTGAGAGGAATTATTCTAAAACTTTAATGCTAATGTCTTCATTTGTTTTCTTTCACAGACGCTGAAGTCTGGCAAAAGAGTGAAGTTGTCCTCTGCAGAGGTTATGAGGAAGATAGGAGAGCTTTTCACGTTGAGGTAAATTCAGTTTTCTCTAAATAGAAAGTAATTCAGGGGGAGCTGTTTCTACTTTTGGTTCAATCTAAGCTTTTTAGTTCATGGCAATGTCACTTTCTTCACCTAATTTACTACCAACGGGTGACGAATTAAAGGAAAAACTTGAACTCTTCACCTCTACAGTGATTGTGGCTCTGGTATGCTGTTGAGGATATTTTGCTGGAATGGTTTGAGTCAGGGCTGCAGGGTGGCGCAGTTGGTAGCACTGTTGCCTCGCAGCAAGTGAATGTGAGTGTGCTTGGTTGTCTGTCTCTAAGTGTAGTCCTGTGATAGACTGGCGACCTGTCCAGGGTGTCCCCTGCCTTCACCCTAAGTCAGCTGGGATAGACTCCAGCCCCCCGTGACCCTAGTGAGGATTAAGCGGTGTGTAGATGATGGATGGATGGTTTGAGTCAACCAACCCCTTTGAGGGGAAAAAAAAAAAACACTGTAAACTAATACAAAGTTGTTCTGAGCCATCACCTTTATTCTCTGAGGAAACATTTCTGTCTTGAGTTCTGTTCCTTTTGAACACCGTTTTCTCAAAAAAACATCATCAAAACTCTAAATACGAGAATATATTTAGGAAGAATGGCGTTCATCCCTCTAGTAGAGTTCCAGAAACATAGAAAAACAATGCTAGGGAGCATTAAACCTGCTGTGGTGGCTCATACCACACCAGGACATTTAATGTTGGATTTTCCTTGAATTTGTCACCCGTCTGTAAATTCAACAGCTCAGCCTCTAAATAATTCTGTAGTTGTATGTGTGTGCTGTATTTTAAATTTTCGTGCTGTAGGACAGGGGTGTCGAATCCTGGTCCTCGAGGGCCACAATCCTGCATGTTTTAGATGTTTCCTTCTTCCAACACACCTGATTCAGATGATCAGTTCATCATCAAGCTCTGCAGAAGCCTGATAACCATCCTGATCATGTGAATCAGGTGTGTTGGAAGAGGGAAACATCTAAAACATGCTGGATTGTGGCCCTCGAGGACCAGGATTCGACACCCGTGCTCTAGGATGACAGACACTGTATTTTGTTATTTTTATGTGCCTCCTCCTCTGACAGACACTGTATAAACCTGAGGTCCGACCTGCTGCTCACACCTGATTTCTACTGGGACCGAGAAAATCTGGAAAAACTCTACGAAAAAACCTGCCAGTTCCTCAGCATCAACCGCAGAGTCAACGTAAGCAAAGCTGTTAGCTCGTGTGCAGACTCGCTGCAGAAGAGCCTCTTGCTCTGTGTCTGAGCTCAGAATTTTGTTGTAGGTCGTGAACGAGAAGCTGGAACATTGCACACAGCTGACGGACCTGATGAGGAGCCACCTGAGTGAGAAGCACAGCTTGAGGTTGGAGTGGATGATCATCATCCTCATCACCATCGAGGTAAAGGATCGAGTGTCGGATCTGCTGGGATGAACTTACAGGTATATAAAACGCATCTTTTGCTTGTTTTTCTTGCAGGTGATGTTCGAACTCGCGAAAATGGTCTTCTAAACCGCGCCTCCAAGGATGCACAAATCTAAAAATGGTCACGAGAGGCTACAAGGGGCGAATGCTGCAGTGTTCAAAGGTACTCAGGCGGTGATTTGTGACACTGAAACTGGAATCGTGAAGGAGACCTAAATAGTTTTGAATGTCTTATTCTTCATGTTCAAGTATGTACATTTCAACAAAACACCAAAAAGACTTTATTGTCAGACATGTTACTAACTGTTGCTGAGAATTGATGAAGAAAGCCATTTTCTTTTATCTTGATGGCCACAGACCCCTGATTTCATTCCCTGTTGTCATGTGTTTTCCCACCTCCTGCCACAGACCCCCGATTCCACCCCCTCTTGTTCATTGTCCCCCTATCTCCTGCCATTTGATTAGCAACTGTATGCTATCAGAACCCCGACTCCACCACCCGTCTAGTCACCAGACTCCCATTTCATCACCTGTGGTTCATTGCCCCTCTTACCTCCGGTCATTTGATTAGCAACTGTATGTTAATTTACCTCTATTCACTTCTGTATTTACATACAGGCCCCCCCTACCCTCTGACTTACCCTATAAACTTGTGACTCTGCAGATGTTCAGGGTCGGTCCACCTTCACAGACTCATGCTCTGTGTTGGTGAGCCCACCGTATACCGGAATGCTAATAAACACCCACTACAGCAAACTTCACATGAGGACTATGAGTAAAATTTCTTCAACAGAATCATTCGTGTCTTCCTGAATTTTGCTGTTTAAAAAAAACAATAATAAGTCAGTGGGACTTAAACTTTTAGAATCATGTGACCACAAGCATGTACTGTTTTACAAATTGTGATTGCTGAATTTGTGGTAATTTAATTTTTATATCATGTGCAAACAGTACGACAGATTGCATTTTTTAATCTCTCTTCAACATGTGACATTGTTCTTATGACAGATCCCGAGCAAAAGAATATAAAAAACTTGGGATTATAGCAAAACTTTTGAGCCACAAACTCCAACTCTAAGTGCTGTGTGATGAAAGATGCAATAAAATATTTATTCTAGACGGTTGTCAGTTGTGTTTCTGTGTTTGCATGTAAAAAATCACAGAGCAATGATTTGTTTCACGAATGCTTAAATCCACTTCGCAGGTTCGCAGGACACAAGCAATGCAAGCGTTAGTTGAAATTTGCGGCTTTTATTTATTCAAATAAAATATTTTTTTTATTAATAAAACACTGGTAAATAGATATAAATACAGGAAACTCAGCTTTGCATGTTGCATTAGTTGACATCAGATCAATCAAATCAGCAGGAAATTTCCATCAAAGTGTATGTGGGGAAATAAAGGAGACAAACGGGTCAAACAACCACCTCACAAACGCTCCTGCTACACAGTTCGATTACTGAACATGTGGTGTCAAAGATACTTAAAAGTGCACAGCTGGGGGGAAGGAACTGTAGGAGTAAAGCTGCCATGATTGTTTATTAAGGCTCTGCAGATTGTAATTATATTAATTATAAATATGTTTTAGATTAAACTTCAACTCTAGTATATTAGCTCAGATTCCCAGACATGAATTACACCTCATTCTGGACTAAAAACTTATTTTGTTTAGGCTTAATCCATGTCTGGGAAACTGGCCGATAGTGTCAAATATAACTTTTTTTTTTGTGCCATGCTCTGTTCATGCGCTTAGAGTAGAAATTCTTGTAGATTGAAAATGTGCACAGTTCAGCCTGTATAAGCATTAAAACAGTTATTATGTACAAGATAAAATAGAACAACACTGCATATCCTCATCAGGTCCAGGTCTGCCTATTGCTTTTAGATCCCATGGAAACGTGAAGTAAAATAATCAAACAGATGAAACAATCTGTGAACATGAACGATGCATAGAGAAAGCTGTGAAATATCTACATGTATTAATAGATATAAAATGTGCTGTAGTTTGGTTGCATAAATCATGAAGTAATGTTGCTTCTGAGTAAATGATTCTGATGCTTTTTTTTTTTTTTTTACCAATAAAAGGCAAAAAAACTGCTGAAAAAAAAATCAACTTCAGAGACAGAGCATGATGTGAAATATGATTGGAAAGACCCGGCATGATTAGTAATTAAAGCAAACAGCTCATTAAATTTACTGAAAGAGGCCACTCATGGTCACTGTCACACCTCAAACATGCCCCCTGAGAAGATCAGTACTTCTTCTTCACAATACTCCTCTCGCCACATCATAAAAACAAAACATACTTTTTATAATACTAATAAAATAATCTAATAAATCTAGCTCATCTGTAAATATTGGACCTTTTTTTTTGGTTCAACATAATGCAAAAGAAAAGGCTTTAATGGCTTTTTGAAACGTTCTTCCTGTTCCTTTTTGATTGTCCGACCTACGAAAACAAACAAAAACAGCAGGGCGTTAGTTTGTTTGACTATATCGGTAGTTTTCGTGAAACCAGATTGGGAAATGCAGCTTACCAGTTACTGACAGTTGAATTGAATTAATTCAAATCCATTGTCATGTCGCTTGCAGTTATGGTTTCTGGATTCTCGAGCGCAACAGCAAAATGTTCGCCTTCGCTCTCGCTCTCAGGCGTTCCTTCGGATTTGTGCGCTTCTTGTTGGGTTTCTTGTTCACGTTCTGCTTTTTCATCTTGCTCTCGAGGTTCCTTTGTTTTCTCTTTAGCGTAAATCTCCTCCTCGGCATCCAGCCACACATCGTCCTCATTTTCCTCCTTGGTTTGTTCAACTATTGGTTTCTCTGCTTCTGTTTTGTAGAGCGCCGGTTGACTCAGAATCACTTCCCTGGTCTCGGTTTGCGTCACTGGTTGGACTGTTTCCGCCGCCTGGACGTTTGGGGTTACTGTCTCTGTAGATGTGACTTCTTCTACTGGTTCTATTGTTTCCATTGCTTGGATGCCGACGTCCAGTTGTGCCGCCTGACTAGTTGTCTTCATCCCTTCGGTTGAATCCAAGTTTACGGCTGGTTCCGAGGTCGGCTTCTCGCTCTCGTCTCTTTCTGTTGTATTTGTGGATCCTTCTGCCGCCACAACTTGAACGTCGACTTCAGTCATGTCAGTCTGCTTTAAAGGTTTGAGTTTCTCTGTCGGAGATGTTGGAGATTCTGCTGCCTTTGCTTGCCCAAACTGTATGTTGAATTTGACTTCCAAAGAAAAGCTCGAGGGGGAGTCCAAGTTATGTACTGACGAGATTAAGCCAGTGTTTTGTGGAGCTACTAGTCCACCATTACTGGTTGTAACAATCTGGGTTTGGGTTGTCTGTTGTGCTTCTGTTGTGTTTTCATTGACTTTTTCCACAGCTGGTTCTTCTGATGGGCACATTTCATCTTCTGCTTTAGTTTCCTTCAAACCCACTTTAAGATCATGCCCAGAAATGTCTAAATGTCCAGGAGTATCGGATGTTTGCATGTGATGGTGTTCGGTTGGGATCGCAGAATCATCACTGGTGGCAACAGACCCTTCATCTTGTCTTTCCGTAAACATCTCAGTGCTCTCCTTCGACTCTTTGTGATTCGCTGCCTGATTTAACTCATTCCTTATCACTTCTGTCAAAGCATCTTTTAGAATTTCTTGTTCCAGACTGACAACCAGAGATTCAGGTATCTTCTTTGGTAAGTTCTCCTTTACATGTTCATTATCCTCTTGAACGGTCACCTTGGTTTCCTTGTTAAAGACTTCCTCTTCAATCCCCGAAATTGCAGCGAGAACTTCTACTTTATCAATAGGTTGGTTACAAAAATCTGTGACTTCTTTGTTTTCTGTAACCCCTACCTCTATTAGTGATTTAATATCCACATCTACGACCTGCATTTGGATTCTGTGACTGTCCTCCACCGCTACACTGTCTTCCAGTAAAGGTGTTGCGCTCTCCACTGCCTCCTTGAGCTCGGTCTCACCTGCCATTCTGCCTATCAAGGGTTCATGAGTTTCTGATGTTTCCTCTACCACAACATTAGGCATCTCATCATTTAGATTACACGTGGTTACTTGCATCATTAAAACATGCTGAACCTCAGCAATCTTCATCTCAGCATTCAGAAGTCCATCTATTTTTTCTACTTCACCGTTGACTTGCACTGTGTGAGTGGGTTCATCTGTAGCTTCAGCACTGTCCAGACAAGGCTCTGGGGTTTCTTTAGAAAGTACCGTCTCTTCCAGGATCTGAACGCAGCTTGCTTCCTCCATAACAGAGGGTAAAGTAACTGCTGGTGATGCTTGTAACTCATGTACAGCTTCAGTGGTGCTGTCCTCAAGCTCTACTTCAACACCTTGGGGGAGACTCTCTGTTTTTTGATTGTTGTTTGTCTCCAAAGCCTGATCCACAACTTTTCCCTCAGTTTCTGCAGGAACTGAAGCAATGACATCTTCCCCAGCTGGTTCTGGAACATCGCCAGACAGTATTTGTGTTTCCTGGGAACTGCTTTCCTCTACACTTGGTGCAGCTACACCAGTTTCTGTTTCAGTTACATCATCTTTTACATCAGGTACCAATGCTTCTGGTTCCACTGGTGGTTCTTCTTGCTCAATGCAGATTTCAGGTGCTTGTTTGGGTTCATCTGTAACTGCTTCAACTTGAACATCCTCTGATATTTCTTCCTTTTTAAGTAATTGAGGGCCACCTGCTTCTGAATCGGATGTGGTTCCTTGTACAGCTTGTAGCAGTTCTGGTTCTTTGGAGTCTTTCACTGGTTCAACATTGACTTCAGTCAGAGGTACTGTTTCCTCTTTTGGTTTATCTATGACTGTTTCTTCTGGTGGAACATCCTCTGATGTTACTCTTGTTTCAAGTGATTCAGAGCTGCCTGCTTCTGAATCTAATGTGGCAGC